CGCGATTATGTCATCGCGGTAGGGTTGCGTTTTTCCTTAGCGCTTTGAACGGCGCGAATTAGTCTTCACGCTTATGTCTCCGCGAATAAGGGCTTCGTGGATTTGTGGTGGAATCCTATCAGTATGCATTAAAAAAAGAACATCCAAATTAGGACCTGGAAGTTAAAATAGCCAAATCAGAAAACCAAGCTCCCTAATTGAATGAGATGTTTGCAGATCCGTAAATGGGTAGTTTAGAAAGAGCTCATCAAGAAACTTCTACATTCCTGTCCGTGTGATCATAAGGATCAAAAGAGGTTTCAAGATTTCCAAAACAATGACATGCCAAGCGTATCTTTTCCTGCTTTCCGAGATGTGATGGACACGCAGCTTTGTGCATGACGGATTAAAGGCTCAAAGTCCACAATATTTTCCGCTTTAAGTACCTTCACTTAGGCTACCTTAAACAGAAATAAAGATAGAGAAAAGGCCAGGGGATGGGCTTCAAAAATTTCAGCAATGGGTTCTCTGCCCAGTTGCTGGGTGGACGTAGCCATGGTGGGCGTGGCCTAGTTGGTCTTTTGCACCACGGTGGGAGGAGGGCATTTTTGCCTTCCCCAAGCAGCTCCGGAGGCTTTCCTTGAGTCTCTGGAAAGGCAAAAACTGCCTCCCCCAGGCTCCAGAGGCCCTCCGGAGACCAGAAATGGGTCCATTTCCGGCCTTCTGGAACTTCCAGGAGGGCCATTTTCCCCTCTCCCTGAGCCTGAGGGGAGGGGAGGAGTGAGGTGGGCAGGGCCAGCCAGGGGTGGGATTTGGAGGTTCTCGGAACCGACCATAACATTAGCTACAGGTTCTCCTGAACCTGGGCAAACCCATAGCAGCCCACCTCTGGAAAAGGCCTCTTCATCAGTAGCCTGAGCTCCTTTTTCACTATTCCTATTTGTCTCAGAAAGTGAAGGATCTCCTGTCTAACAGGGAGATGAACCCAGGGGTGGGTTGTGGCAGTTTTACTATTGGTTTGCAACCCACACGCAACTTGTGCACTGTGCACACATGAACTGTTCAATGTAAATTGTTCTTTGCGCATGCGCAGAACAATTTACAGTGAATTGCACATGAGCAGTCAGTAGAAAACAAAATGGCGGCAGCCCAGTGGCAGCAATGGAACCAATTCAGGGGCGTGGCAGGACTGGGTCGCTGCCGGTTCTGCAAAGCAGGCCTGAATTCTACTACCAGTTCAGCCAAACCGGGCCGAACTGGAAGCAACCCACCTCTGGAGGAACCACAACTCACCAATCATGGCAAAAAGATCTGAATGGTAAACAGATTCCTGCTTGTCTTTGGTCTGCTCGAGGTTGGGCCGGTACAAAATGGCAGTCACGGTTAGGCCAAAGTAAGCACCGAACGTATGAATGGTCATGGATCCTCCAGCATCTTTCACCTGCAGTAGCCGATATAAAAGAGATTGAAGCCTACCCAGAAGTAATTGGTTTATTCTACAGAGAATCAGTATATATATATATATATATTCTCGTATTTGCGAGACTGCCTACTGCCACATACCTCCCAACAGCCGACAAGATCCCACAGGGTGGGCCTCCTTAGGACGTCGTCAGCCGGACAGTGTCGGCTGGCGGGGCCTCAGAGGAGAGTCTTCTCTGTGGCTGCTCCGGCCCTGTGGAATCAGCTTCCCCCAGAGGTCCAGACCTCACCCACCCTCATCGCCTTCAGG